AGAAATGTTGGGAAGGATAGCGCCACAGTGTTGGTACGCATCTCAGTCCCCCAGGCTGTGAGCTGCATTATTGTGACACTTAAGTATTCCTTGTACCAAAGACTTTTCCAGCATGCACACCTTCATAACCTACTGTGTATTTACATACTATATAGCAGTTTAGGTCACAACTTACTGAAATGCAATTTTGGATTCATCATGCATGTACAGAGCCTATAACTGTAATAAATTTCTGAACAATTGGAGAAGGAAAAATATTGAGACCGTGTGATCTTCTGGCATGAAAGCTCAATGTTTTAACCTCTCTTCAAAGAATCTTTACTCAAACCGATTGCTAGCAACACACATTATATCATTAGATATTTCAAAATCACATTTCTACATATTTAATAAATACTCGCCTCATAAGTACTCTGGCAATCAGGAGTTTGAAGAGCAGGGATGACACCCACACTGTATGCATTCCTTTCTGAGTCATAAGCAAGTGGGTAATTCTTGAAATCCTTTTCATATATCATCTTCATTTTTTCAAATATCTCCCTTAAAAAAATACAAAAGAATGAATAATATTTAAGGTGATGTTCAGATGACAAACAAATAATTTATAGAGGGTAATATGCAGTACAGTACAGTACAGTACAGTAAACCCTTGCCATTAGGGAGAAATAGGTTACAAGAAAGGGCACGAATAGGCAAAACCGCTAATAGCAACTTATACTACTTAAGTGCACTACTGTATACAGTAAGTCCTCGCTTAATGTCGGGATTACGTTCCTGAAAACACGACGTTATACAAAACAATGTTAAGCTTATCAATTTTCCACATAAGAAATAGATAAAATGCGGGAGTTACATTCCTGAGCCTCCCTTTGCCCCATGAAATACATTACATATACAGAAAATCACTGCCATTTCTATAGAAAATAGTGCATGCATATACAGCTACTAAGTTTGTATTGCTTTATCCTCTTCACCACTGATCGGCTCATTAGCCGCTTAAGCGATGGGTCACGTTTCTGTTACGCACTGTTGGCAAGTACTGGGCATGCACCGGCTCCTGAATGTACTTGAACCTGCTCCAGTGTTGGTTAAGTCTGGTCTTAAAAGAGCTCACACCCGGTGCCGTCACAACACTTTCTGACAGATTGTTCCAAGAGTTCACAATTCTCACTCCGAAAAAGTTTGCCCTCACAGTTTTCTGGACCTGCGGCTTCTTCAGCCTCGAGCTGTGACCCCTTGTGGGGCGAGCATCCGCCAGCTCCAGGTAAGGACACTCGACTTAGTATTACATGAATGGTCACAAGTTGTTGCCCTGGGCCTAGACCTTCCACACACTCAAACCTTTCTAGTTTTCTTTTTTATCTTCTCAGTTATTCTCTGATCATATTTCCTCATTTTCATTGAATCGTTTACATAAGGAGTTGTCAGACTTATAATTGAATAAGTTTCCCTCACCCTCTTCCTTCTCCCATTCTCTCGTTTTTTTCATCCCTTCCTCCTTTTCTTTCTCAAGTTGATTCCCCGCATCTAGATCAAAGAAAGCGTTGCAATAATCATTTTCATCTGTCACGCCCCGTTTAACGTCCTTATGCTGCACGCCTCCTTCCGTAACCCCTGGTGGCAGCTGGAGTTGGGGCTTCCCTTGGGATGTGGAAAGAGGCGGTGGCACACAGGGAGGAGGCAAAGAAGGACGTGAAGGCGGATTACACGACCTTGGAAGTCCTCCACTCGTGTTACCCATATGGATGGAGCACGAGGAAGAACCTGCTGATGAGTGGTATTTTACGGACGTCTCGTTGGTGTTCTGCTGGAGAGAGAAGCGGTTTTTTGCTCCAGCCTGTTGTCGCTTCTTGAGGCAGAAGCCGAGACATACAACGAGGAGACTCATCAGCAGCACCGACACAATAATCGCAACCCACAAGAAGTTGAAGTCTTCCTCATCATCACGTGTTGAGGGACTCTCCGTTGGTACTCACCGATGGGCGGAGGTGGTAGAGCAAGTTTGCGGTGGACACAGATGGTGGGAGGGGAGGAGTATGTTGGGAGAGGAGGAGGAGGGTAGCAATTCACTGAGACCCGGCGGGTGGCTCCTCCTCCCTCTCAAAACGGTTTAAAACCTCAATTTTCGTTAAGCGGCACAGCGTTATACGAGGACTTACTGTACCTATACCAAACAACTGACCAGCCACGGCAGCACTTATCCCCTCTTTTAAGTTATCTAATAGTAAAATTTTCTTTGTCAGGGTCATCACTGACTTCTGCCTTTTACATTTCACTCCACTAGCATTGACGCTAGGCAGTCTTTTAGGGGCCATTTCACACAGAAACACTAAAGTTTTGAGAATATAACACAAGATGCTGCATGGGTTAACTTGTTGTGCTGCGGAAAAGGCTTGCAAGATAGCCACCATCTGCTTACCGCGAATCGTCGAAATCACGAATCACAAACTCGTTAAATTAGGGGTGCAGGTGGGTAGAGCGGTACCGCTCTTGCCTCGCAAGCGAGATGTCGCAGGTTCGATTCCCAGGCCGGTGGAAAGATGTTCAGACACACTTCCCAGCCTCCCTTGGTCCCCGTTCACCTAGCAGCAAAGTAGGTACCTGCCGTAAATCGAAAGTTGCGAATTCGTATTCAGGAAAAGTTGTTGGACCTTCCAATAACTTGCTTAGACATAAACCATCGACTCTTCAGGCTTCTACGCCCTTAACTCACGAGACATAAAGGCAAGCGCGAACTTAGCACGCTTCCCCGTTGGGCGCTGTAAACACTTCTGCGCTTCACCTTACACAAGGACGTAGGGGGTTGCAAAAAAAAATGGTGAACGGCAAAGGTGTACCGTATTCAATCAGGAAAATACCCCATTAATACAGATCATCCTCCTCTAACTAACACTGATCAGACTCATCTGAGATATACAGTATAAAAGAGGGTCAACTTTTTTATATTTGCTCTTTCAAACCTTTCTGCTGTTTAATGCTAAATGAGAACACAATTACAGTACAGTACTACAAAACTCATGGGAGTGGTAAAACTAAACCAAAAGCAATGCATAATACTTACATTTTCGTTTTTCGTGGAAGATTTGCATCTTTGTTGTGTTTTTTTAGAGAGACATCATAATGAACCAGTTCTGCAAACTTATTTTTAACACTGATTGGAAAATAGTTTGTCTCCAGGTTAATTTTCAGGCCTTTAGAGCCAACATCTGTCCTAGGTGGAGGCTTCGGATCTAAAAGCAAAGTACAGTACATTACAGTTCAGTAATTAAATAATAATATGCATTTAAATCACACCAGCTAATTCATCTATTTACCTTATGATAGTGTCTGGCATTGCAACAGTTATGTGATGCTGTATTCATTAAAGAGATTTATCTACTTAATAAGAAAACCATAAAATTAAATGGAATACGTATAACTACAGTACATGCACTGGTTACAAATCATCTTAATTACGAAATTATCCAGTTTGTACATACCATTACTCAAATGACCTGACTACCGACTGCTGCGGTGCTTTTTGAAGATTAGTAGGGTCATTTCCTAATACCTGACCATTGTGAACTTGATCTCACCCTCCTCTGTATACATATATATACCTTGTTATGTGCTTCTCCTTAGTCTGTCCTCACCCCTGAAGATGTGAATTACACGAAAGCGCTTGGGAACTTCGAGTTTTCTTCTTTCCTTGTGGTTATCAGCATGCATATATACATATACAGTGACCCCTCGGTTAACGAACTCAATCCGTTCCAGAAGGTCGTTCGTTAACCGAAAAGTTCGTTAACCGAAACCATTGTTTCAATGGGTTTTTGGGTAATTGGTTCCAGCTCACCGAAAATTTCCTAAATTCAACAAAAATGGCAGAAAAATTTACTTACTTTGAGGTGTGTATGTAGAAGGCTCCTGGATGATGATGATGATGTGCATTTGAAGTGGGAGGTGCAGGAGGAGAAGGGAGAAGAGAAGGAAGTGGAGGTGGAGGAGAAGCATTTTACTGCTTCTTGGAAGGTGAGTCACCTTCCATGAAAATGTCAGGAACCTCTGGACTGACAGATTCTCCACCAGGAACATCCTCTCTCCTTCTTGAAGTGGAAGGCTGAGGGATAGCATCTTGTTCCCTCTGCCTTTTACTGAAGAAAGTGTCAATTGTGGTCTGTGGGGCATCTGTCCT